ATAGCAGCATGGAGCATACAGCACAGCCCGCAATTATATTAGACTTATTTAATTTCTGAGCCTGTGAAAAAGCATATAGGCGTAACGGACGAGTTGGCACACAATATCTAAATGACGATACACACACACAAAACGAAACTAAACGCTTTGCGCTGATGCAATTTATCGTCGAATTAGTGCAGTCAACTGCGCGTAAAATTGGGAATTTATCCTCATTTGAATGGCCATTGAGAGTACGGCCCATCTAGTGTGACGAGGGCCTTATGGATCCTCGTCGTCTGGCGGGACATTTAAATTTGAGGTGATCCGCCTATTTAAAAATAAACATATTTCTTTAAAAAAATTAAATTTTAAGACACTCTGTATACATAATTTATTATTGTTTTTGAAAATAATTCTACACAAACTAGGGAGAGAGAAATCAGACAACGAACAGAGATGATAGGTGTTAGGTAATAGCTTGTAGACTACCATTCGAGATGCATTGATGTTATTTTGGTTTGCAAATTTTGGTTATTGTGGCAAAGAATTATTAAAGGCAAAGTAAATGTTTCCTCATTATTTAACTAATGTTAACTTTATTCTCATGTAGAAATATTCTGTACTAAAGCTTTTCCCTATATGATCTGACAAAGTTATTATAAAGTGGTAAAAAAGGTAAAACTGGTATAAGTTAAAAAAAATTGGCGCCGGGAGGCACGTATAGCCACCCATACTAAAATATGTTAATAAAAAGTTGGTAGGCAGTTCTTTTAGTTTTAAAGAAAAGGAATTTTCCAATATTGGTCCGCGGTTATTTCCTCTATCCGCCACCTGGGGTCGCGTCCGATGGGAGTTTGGAGTTCTCCACACCAAAGAATATCTTAATACCCTTATTAATATATCTTAATAACATAATAAAATTATAATATTCTTTGTCCACACGGATTTTCTCAAAAACGGACTACGAAAACACGGAATATCTCAAAAACAGCAACTTTGACTGATTTTGATGTTATTACAAATTTTGTTGCAAATATTATTCCTAATCTTAAATTAAATCGCGTTTCGCTAGCTACTGTAATTTTGGAGTTACGATTTTTTAAAATTTTTAACCCCCTCCCATTAAATTCGCCTTCATTCTCAACACGTCCACTCTTATCCATCTCAAATCCTCTTCAACATCCTTTTACCTCTGGTTCTCGGTCTACCCCTCCTTCTCTTTCCACTTATTTCACGCTTCGCTATCATACTAGGAATTCTTGCTTCCGCCATTCGTTCAATGTGTCCTAGCCATCTCAGTCTTTGTGCTCTTGCTACTCCCGTTATATTCGGTGCCCGATATAATTGCTTTAATTCTTCTTTGTTCTTCTAGTCCATATGTTGTCTATCTTATTGACTCCAAAAATCTTATTTCCTCAATATTTTTCTTTCCCATATCTCTAGCCTCAAACTTTCCGTTGCATTGAACGTCCACGTTTCACATGCATACAGCACTATTGATCATATCATTGTTTAGTACATTCTGATTTTTAAACTTCTAGAGATGATCTTACTCTTAATAATTTTCTGTAGTGCGGTAACACATCTATTTCCTGCCATTACTCTTGCCATAATTTCTTGAGTCTATTTGTAGACATCTTCCCTTCTCAAAATCTCTATCTGACCACTCCATAAATTTCGTTTTCTTCTCATTAAACACTAAGCCTACATTTTGCGCTTGATCTTCTAGTCTTTTGTCTGTCACCGATATCAGCTCTTCCATAGGATCGCTAAATCATCTGCAAAGGCTAAGCATTGGTGTCTTTTTGTATACAGAAGGCCCTCTCTGTTGATTCCCGCATCTATTATAACTGTTTCTAATACTACATAGTTCCCCTGTCTTAATCTGTCCCTGATCACAATTTTTTTCGTTGTTTTCTTGTTTACTTTGACTTGATTTACTGTCCCTTGGAGTGTCAATTTTATCATCTTGGTCAGTTTCTTGCAAACCCCTAATTCTGTTAATGCTCTAAACACCTTTGAATATAGTGAAATATAGTGAACGGCTCATAAATACAAATAAATTCTATAGTTTTTTCCAATGAATGTTCCACCCAAAAAATAATAAAGTCATACCCCGTTAAACGGGGGAAGAAAGAAATTGTTAACAACATACAAAATAATAAGCAATGTTCTGGAACCGAATATGTTAGTTAATTGAATTTTTCCTGTACAACCATCGCTGGCTCTTTTTATATAAAAATATGATTAATCGTATAGTGTCCCATTGGACATGAAATTGGGCACATTGTCCACCGCTGTCCGCCATATGGTGGGCAATTAACGATTTCACGAGCCCTGCGCAGCGCACACCATGGGCGTGCCCACCTCGAATTACTCATACCTTTTTTGATTCATTGCCCCGTTAGCGGTCGCACGAAATTTATCGTTAATTATATCCGTTTTCCATATAAATCGTTCAATAACGAGTATCCTCACGTGAAACGAAAGTATTTTTTCAGAAAAAAAAATCAGAAGAAATTTTATATTTACATTATTTGTCAGTCTATGAGATCACAGCCTATTCAGTACCAGCCGTCCAATTTATCATCTTTTACATTGAAATGTTCGATCCTACCCAATACAAATTACTGAAAATCAATTATAATGTCAAGGATTACAGACTAAACCCGCGAAAGAAAATTTACATTATCATATACCTACAGGGTAATTTTTATGGCGTCGCCAAAATCACAATATTTAAAATACTATATCTCAATTTTTTAAGAGGCAACACCCTGTGTATTATTTTTCTTTTAGGGGGAGAATTAAAAAATCAACATTTTTGTATATAAAGTGTTTTAAATTTTAGCGGTTTTGCAGATATTCGCGGTATTATATTACATATGGCTCTTTCAACAATAATTTTTTATCTTCTTCTGCTTCTTCCGGTCCAATATGCAATCTTGAACATTGAGGATCATTTGTACATTCTTTTCAATTAATGGATTGTATGGGTATAAAAATAGAGATACTTATAACATTTTAAATAATGCGATATTGGCGAAGTTATAAAAATATACTGTGCAGGTGTGGTGCAGGATAATATAAATTTTCCGTCGTGGATTTATTCTGTCATCCTTGGTGTTTAGGGAAATATAGCTAAGTATTATAGTAAAGTTATATATAGGGTGATTCACGGCGATGGCACGACGTTAGACATTTATGGAGAACCGGTGATTTCTTTGAAAAATTCGATTTTTACATAAAGGCATCTTCTGCCCCATCTTTCTAAAATATTTTCAGCATTACAGTGTTGCCGCATCATTAGATAAGTGGTAGCATCTTTCTTATTTCAAGTAGAACACCCAGTATATTATTACATTTTTGGAAACTACTTTCATATCTAATAAATTTTCTTTTATACTAATCTATACCAAAGAATATATTAATACTCAATATTCTTTGCCTATACCTATCTCTAACAGTTTTTAAGATAAAAAATAAAACATGTCTAAAATTGACAAAAACATGATCGTGAATAAGCATTGGTAAAATTATGAATCAAACAGTTTTTAAGTTGAAATTTTGGTTATGAATTAACTAAAATCGATATATTCGATCTGTCTGAATAAACCAATTGGATATTACACATCAGAAAGAGCAAAAATATTATTTATTTCCGTTTGTTATAATATCACTAAAATCTTTATTATTTTAAATTCAACCCTATGAATATTATTCAAAAAATCAAAACACTGATAAGGTTGCTGTTCAACGATACATCATGTTCTACAACCTATATTATACGTAAACATTCCGGTTTCTTAAGTAGAGCTGTTTAAAAATTAATAAGTCTAATTTCGTTACCATGACAATTTTAGAAATTTCGCACGTAAACTCTAATTGATTCGTATAAAGTTTGAATATTTGTCATGGCAACGATTTTCTTTAAAAGAAACATGGAAAAAGAACATATAGGAGCATGATACCGTTGAATAGCAATTTTATTTGAGTTTTGATTTTTTAAATAATATTCATAGGGTTGAATTTAAAATAACAAAGATTTGAGTAATTTTATAACAAACGGAAATAATTATTTTTACTTATCTCCCTGTTTGATATCCAAATAGTTCATTTAGATAGATTGGATATGTCGACTTTCATTAACTTATAAACCAAATTTCAGCTTTTAATATGCCGAATTTATGATTTAAGCAATGCTTATTCAAGATCATGTTTTTATCAATTTTACACATATTTTATTATAGTATAATATAAAAATTATTAGAAATCAGGTAGTTTTCAAAAATGTACTGTAATATACCGGATGTTCCATTTAAAATAACAAAGATGTTTAGTTTTTTGATGTCCACTTTTAGTATGAAGAGGTAACACTGTAATACTGAAAATAATTTAGACAGATGGAGCAGGTGCCTTTATGCAAAAATCCATATTTTCAAAAAATCCTATCACCGGTTCTCCATAAACCTCTAACGTACCATAGCCGTAAATCACCCTGTATAGTGTTTTTAACTACAGTTTTAGTAAATAAGAAATAGAATGACAAAAATGCATACTTCAAATAACAATAGTGTTATTATATGCAGAATTTTATGCTGAATCCAATTATGTACAGTGTGTCCCATTTTGGTTGAAATCATACGGTATGTCCGTTAATAGTGAAGATAGAAGGGTGCGGTTTGCACAAACCTGTCTCACTTTTTTGTCAAACGGAAGATGCCGTAAACAAAATTTTCATAGCCCTCTTCGTTTCTGAGCTACAGGGTCTTTTTGAAAATTTTGCAATTTGGGACACCCCCTGTATATAGAAATTATACACGTGCTGAATACTACATAATGCATTTACTATGTAGTTTATGTAATAAATGTTTTTGATTCAATATACGCGGTTTCTAGTTATGAGGTAATTTCAAGGAACGTAACCACAGCGTTAACACAGGGATTCCTGAACTTACTTATTTTTACTTATGTATTTTATTTTATTCGTCTTTAAAAATGTTCTTTTTATATTTCAGGTCTATGATCTCTACCACAATCAAATAGAAAAGAAACCTAAAGGTTTCGGCGAATGGTCCTCGTGGAGTCCTTGGAGTCCTTGCTCGAGGTCGTGTGGAGGTGGTGTAACACAACAAATAAGACATTGTATTAACCGACCTGCGGATTCCAGGTAATTTTAACAGATTTCGAGACAATTATTAATCGAATCTAGGCTAAAGGTCAATGCCAGTGGTAATTGAAGTTATTTTTTAATGTAATATTTATGTACGAACGAAATTTACAATTCAATTCACTGATTAAACGGAATAGCCTGATTTAGGAAAACATTTTTTTAGCTGGAGCATATTTTAAAGCACTAATTATTAATTGGCTATTAAGCTTTGTTTAAAGCCTTGAAATTAGTGGTTTCAATTAGCCTAGAAGTCTCTTCCTCTAATTTTAATGTAAGCATACAGTACATCAAAATTAGTGGTAGATAGTAATTTTGAATTAGTAGAAAAAATCACAAATTTTTAACTTTTTCCACTAATTATACCGGATGCGTCTCAAAAGTGGCTGAACCCTATAACTTTTTTATTTTTTAGATAAAAAACGAGATTTGGTATTTTAGTATATGACATAAATTAGGATTGATTGATGTATTCATTTGTTTTCGGTCACGTCCTGTTTTACCGGAAGTGACTATAACTTTGGATTTTTAAATGACACCCTCGGTATTTGTTTATTTTATTCGATAGAAAATGACACTCTGAATCGAATGAAATATCACATATCAACTTTTGACAAGTATTCGCTCAAAAACAAATTGTATTTTAAATTGTTTGTTAAAAACGTTAATTTTTAATGAAGGGGCCTTGGAAAAAAAGATTTGATCGAGTAAAAACGGCGTCCAGTAGGCTTGGAAATGACAATCGATGACATTTCCCATATACATTTACATATAAAATGACAGCGATCTTCATTTCATAGCCATCGCTAGTGCCGTTTTTATTCGAGCATAAGGTACTTTCCCCGCATGAGTAATAAAAAAATTATAACTCATGCGGGGAAAGTAGTATCTTTTCGCTTTCTTTTGGAGTCGAAAAGACGCTTATTGCCCACTTCACAATTACCACACTAGTTTTGAGCAAATTTAATGTCGATTTGAGTGCGACAAGTAAACTTCTCGCACCCAAATATTCATTGGCACACGCAAATTGACAAGCAAAAAAGACAGTATCGAAGTGTCAATATTAAAGAAGTGAGGTTGACATTTAAATATTTTTTTATTTTTTGTTTATTTTATTACGTTGCTTTTTAATATGTCTATTTTGTTATGTTTCATCATGTAAACAAATTATTAAACACCATTATGAAGAAGCAACGATAAAATTCCTTCATTTTCTACTATAAAATTCGTTTTAAAAATTTGAAGTTTTTAATGTCATCTTTTGCATTCATATATGGGGTGTTCCAAAAGTTGTTTTTCTTGTCACGAAATTCTTAAAGTATTTTTTGCTTTTTAATAAGTCTGTTTTGTTTACATGATGAAATATAACAAAAGAGACATATTAAAAAGCAACGTAATAAAAAATAGTATGTGTAACTCGTGCGAAGTTGTCGATTGCCTACTCGAGCTGATAAGCCTCAACTTCGCTCTCGTGGGCAATCGATAACTTTTCGCACTGGTTGCACAATATACTATTTTAAGCCATCTTAAAAAAAATATTAAAAATACAAGAAATGTCCCGAATTCAAAATTATACTAGGTATTTACTATACTTCTGTACGTACTTGGCTATAAATATTGTAATCTTAAACCATACAGGGTGTTCAAAATTCTATATTCTATGCAAAACTTTCTAAAATATAAAATAGTTCTCTTTCGTTTTTTTTAAATGGAACACCCTGTTATTATTTCTTTGTTAGATTGAGAATTGAAAATTGAACATTATATTTAAAGTATTTTAGAAGTTTTATCTGATGTAAATCTATTTATATTAATTAAATTATTATTGCGTTGCTTGTTTTAAGATATCAAAAATAAGAAATATAACATCACTTGGTCAAAGCTTTCCTTTTTCGTATTTTATTTTTATACTCTTCACTCGCCATAAATACAACAACCAATAATTGGGCTAGATTAAGATATTATCAATCAAATATAGGTTAAAGTATCAATGTCAACACTAATTGTAGGAATTTTTAACTGCCGAATGTCGTACAAACAGTTTTTAAATTGATACATTGCTTCGATTTATTACCGCATTATTAGTGACCCTATATCTAGTCGGCACAGAAAAAAAAATAACAATCCCAAAACGTTCATTTGTTTGTTTGACTTGGGGCGAAACGCTGCCGTCGGAAATATTCTCCAGAGTCATCAAATTTAAAAGGGACAGAACAATACCACCACATTATATCTCTATTTTTTACGGTTATTAATTTTTCAGCTCTTTGGGTCCATCAATCATATTAATTAAACATAACATCAACACCCCTGAAAAATTTAAATACTTAATCGCTTTCGGTTGGTCTCCACTCGTTTTTAGCCATTTTTTAATCATAGTTTTTTTTTCTTTTTGGAGATGGAATAAATGAAAATATGTTCTAAGGGCGCCAAGGCTGGGTTTTGAAGCGATACAGTTCTAGGTTCGTGATTTAATATTCTATTGTTTCGAATCAGTGGAGTGGCTAAGATCACGACGTCATTTCCGCATCATACACCGACGATCAATTCTTCTCATCTCATCGTTAAAATATTCGTATATAATTGGTTTGCTGATATAACTTGATTTTGTTACAGGGTGTCCCAATTTATTTTTAAATTTTAACAGGTCACGTCTATCATTGATGTAATTGTCCCTAATTGTAATCCTGATCAAACTAACAGGACGAATGTAAAAATATTTGTATTTCCTTGGGGATTTCTTGGGGATAGTATTGTATTTGACTTAGACAGTATAACTGTTAAATCAAAATTAACTTTAAGACAATGTATCCTTAATATAGGCTAAAATTTTATTCAGAACCTCTAAGTTAGTGGAATAAATTAATGGTTTCAATTAAACTTCATTCAGAACCTCGCAATTAGTAAATTAAATTAGTGGTTTCAGTTACACTTTATACTTTTTAGTTTACGATCATTCACAATGTTTAAAGAACACAATTAAAATTAATAGACTATTCTGGCAACAGCTTGGGTTAGTCAGTTGTATCCATAGAGAAGCCTAATATTTAGCAGACTTAAAATTTAAGCCTTTTTCAAAATGACTTGTGATTTAAATCTTTATTCCAAAATAGAAAAAGATTGATAGATCATTGAAAAGATGTAAGTCTTTTTATAAAAGACTCAAGTCATTAAAAAAATTTAAGTCTTTTTAAAAAGGCTTAAGTCAGATTTTTATGATAATAAAATAAATATTTTTATGATAAACTTTTAACAGCAGCATTCCTTTTTAAACTGTCACGATGCAAAGCAAAATTATCTGGTAAAATTAAGTTAAATAAACGGCTCTTATTTTATAAGAGCCGTTTAGCAGTACCTAAATAAATAAATATAGAGTATATTATAATTTTCGAAAGCTCATAACAAGGCAAATAAAATAAAAAATAATATATAGAGTGTCCATTTTTCGAAATAGACAGCTCCCAACGAAGAACCACTTTCGTCACTGCCATTCTACCTGAAAAACGAGACACGGGCGGTGGGTAAGTACTCAATAGGTAGAACAGAACAAAATCATGGTATCCGGTATATACCTGTACATTTAGATGAACAGTCTAATTTTATAAAAGGTATTTCCAACGACCGCATAGTAAATACCCGGTATAATACCAGTAATATCAGAAATACGAGTATATCTACAATATTTCTTATATATATTGTAGATATTATATATTGGTATATTTCTATTCCCGGTATTATACCGGGTATTTACTATGCGGTCGTCGGAAACTCCTTTTATTAAAATTAGGATGTTCATCTAAATCTACAGGTATATACATATATGCCCAGATTTTATTTATCTACAAATTGGGTACTTACCCACCGCCCATCACTCACCCTTTTCACCTTTTCGATAAGTTATAAGATAATCGAGATACAAAGGTTATCGAAAAATGCAAAAATTTCTACTAATTAAAAAATAAAAAGTAAAAGAAAGAAATAGGAAATAACTTTGAACTAAGAAGGCTAGGATAAATATGTGCGTAGCATATTTAGTCCTAATAGAACAAAAAAATGTGAAAACAGCATCTTTATATCTCTACTCATAAACCAGAAACCCCATAAAACACACAAAAATGGGACATCCTGTACATCTAGCAATCGCCAGTCGATATAAAAATAATTCACACACAATAGTCTAAAAAATGGAAGAAAAAAACAGTATTTTCATATTTGTGAAAAAATGCATGTCCATATTTATGTAATCGTAGCGACAAAAATAAAAAAATAGAAATAGTGTGCATGATGCCTTTACAAAAATAACTGGGTGACTTTAATAGTCATAGCCCTGCTTGGGGATATACAGAATACGACACGAACGGAAATCTGGTCGAAGAGTGGGCAGAATCATGCGACCTTTCCCTTATTCATGACACCAAACTCCCACATTCTTTCCATAGCAATATCTGGAAATGCGGATAGAACGCCGATTTATGCTTTTCTACTCTCACATTGGAAGGACAAAGTGTCAAAAGAGTCTACAAGCCCATACCTAAAAGTCAGCATAGACCAATAGGAATTGACGTATATGCAGCCGTCAGATCACCAACTAGTCCATTTGGGCGGCGGTTTAATTTCAAAAAAGCCAATTGGCAGAATTTTTCAAACAAATTGGACTCAGCTATTAGTGACCTGAAGCCCACACCAAAAAACTACGAAAAGTTTATTGAACTGGTGAGGTTGGTGCCAGGAAATACCATACCAAGGAGATGCAGGCAACAGTATATTCCTGGTTTTTCCAACGATTCTAGAGAACTGCTAACTAGACGAAGAACTCTTTGAGAGAGACCTTTTCAGTGAAGATACCCTTGAATGTGGCTCAATACTGATTCAAGAACTGAGTAATTCGTAATTCAAAACGATTCTAGAGAACTGCTAACTAGATACGAAGAACTCTTTGAAAGAGACCTTTTCAGTGAAGATACCCTTGAATGTGGCTCAATACTGATTCAAAAACTGAG